TCAGTTTTTCATGTGCTAATGTCCACGTCATCTTCATGAATTCGAGTAATGGATTCCGATTTGCCTAAAATTTGTTAAGGCCCATAATAATAACCTAATAAGTAATGGTATTCGTGTCGCCATGAGTTTTCCTCGCTCTTGGACTTTTAGAGCCATAAAACAGGAATTCATGATGATTTCTTATTTTTTGTAATTCCCATGCCATCTTCATGAATTCGAGCGACGGGATTTGAATCACTTAAAATTTTGTGGGCCCATAAGAAACGACCTAAAGAACAATAGTTATTGCTTCTCCATGATTGTCCCTCGCTTTTTGGTATTTTAGGGCCATTAAACAGTAATTCAAGGTGATTTTAGATTTTTTGTGTGCTAATGTCCACGCCATCTTCATCAATTCGGGGAACTAGCTCTGAATCGCCTAAAATTTTATGGGCCCATCAGAAACGACATAGTGACAATAGGCATTGCTTCAACGTGATTGTTCCTTATTTTTTGCGTATTAGGGTCATAAAACAGGAATTCACGAAGATTTCTAATTTTTTGTATGCATTCCATGCCATCTTCATAAATTCGGGCGACGAGCTCCGAATCGCCTAAGATTTTGTAGCCCCATTACAAACGACTAATGAACAATAGTCATTGTTTTGCCAGGATCATTCCTCGTCTTTCTACGTTTTAGGGCCATAAAACGGGATTATAGGACAATTTCTAACTTTTCGTGTGCTAATGTCCACGCCATCTCCATGAATTTGGGCGACAGACTCCGAATCGCCTAAAATTTTTATGCGACATCACAAACGAGCAAATGAACAATAGTCATTATTTAGCAATTGCTCCTTGTTTTTGACATATCTGGGCCATAAAATAGGAATTTAGGATGATTCCCGATTTTTCGTGTGCAAATACCATCTTCATGAATTCGGGAGACGGACACTAATTGTATTAAATTTTGTTGATCCATCACAAACGACCTAATAAAATCCTTATTTTTTGGCATTTTAGGGCCATAAAAAGAGGAATTCGGGACAATTTTTAATTTTTTGTGTGCTACTGTCTATGCCATCTCAAGAGTTTGAGCACATGCTTTGAATCACCTAAAATTGTGTGTGCCCATCAGATATGACCTACAGAATAATAGCCTTTACTTCGCCATGACCGTTCTCCATTTTTTTTACATTTTAGGGTAATAAAACAAGAATTTAAGGAGATTTTTAATTTTTCGTGTGCTAATATCCATGCTATCTTCATGAATTCGGGCGACGGGTTTCGAATTACCTAAAATTTTGTGGGCCCATAATAGATGACCTAACGAACAATAGTCATTACTTCTACATTATTGTTTCTCATTTTTTTTGGCATTGTAGGGATATAAAACAGGAATTCAGGGTGATTTCTAATTTTTCTTATGCCAATGTCTATGTCATCATCGTGAATTTGGGCGACGGGCTCCGAATCGCCTGAAATTTTTTGGGCCCATCAAAAATGACCTATTGAACAATTGTCATTGCTTAGCCATGACCGTTCTTTATTTATTTTTTTGAAGTTTTAGAGCCACAAAACAGGAATTCATGATTATTTCTAATTTTTCATGTGCTAATGTCCACGCTTCTCGGCCGATGGGCTCTGAATCACCTTAAACTTTTTGGGCCCATCAGAAATGACCTACTAAACAATAGTCATTGCTTAGCCTTAAATATTTCTTCTTTTTTGGGGGCATTTTTAGGGCCATAAAATAGGAATGTAAAGAGATTTCTAATTTTTTGTGCGCTAATGTCCACGCCATCTTCATGAATTCGGACGGCGGATTCCAAATCACCTAAAATTTTATGAGGCCACCAGAAATGACTTAATGATTAATATTCATTTCTTATCCATGAGTGTTCCTCGTCTTTGACATTTTACGACCATAAAATAAGAATTTAGGATGATTTTCGATTTTTCGTTTGCTAATGTCCATGTCATCTTCATGAATTTGGGCGACGGGCTCCGAATCACCTAAAATTTTGTGGACCCTTTAGAAACAATCGAATGAATAATAGTCATTGCGTCACCATGTCTGTTCCTTATATTTTAATATTTTAGGATCATAAAATAAGAATTTAGAACCATTTTCGATTTTTCGTATGCTAATGTCAATGCCATCTTCATGAATTCGGGCGATGGGTTCTGAAGTGCCTAAAATTTTGTGGGTCCACCAGATATGACCTATAGAATAATAGTCTTTGCTTCACCATGAGTGTTCCTCGTTTTTTTGATTTAGGGCTATAAAACAAGAATTTAGAGCAATTTCAAGTTTTACGTGTGCTAATGTCCACGCCATCTTCATTAATTCAAGCGAGGGGTTTCGGATCGCCTAAAATTTTATGGGCCCATTAGAAATTACCTTATGAACAATAGCCATTATTTCTCCATGATCGTTCCTCATTATTTGCATTGTAGGGAATAAAACAGGAATTCAGGGCGATTTCTAATTTTTCGTGTGCGAAATGTTAGTGTCATCTTCATGAATTTGGGCAACATGCTCCAAATCGCCTAAAACTTTATGTGCCCATCAGAAATGACCTAATGAACAATGATCATTGCTTAGCCTTGAATTTTCCTCCTATTTGGTGTTTTAGGGCCACTAAATAAGAATTTATGATGATTTTTTATTTTTCGCGTGCTATTATCCACGCCATCTTAATGAATTCGAGCGACGGGCTCCGAATCATCTAAAATTTTGTGGATGCATCAGAAACGACCTAGAGAACAATAATCATTACTTCGATATGCATGTTACTTATTTTTTGGTATTTTAGGGCCATAAAACGGGAATTTAAGGCGATTTCCAATTCATGTGTTAATGTCCACGCCATCTTCATGAATTCGGACGACGGCTCCGAATCATCTAAAATTTTATGGGCCCATTAAAAATGACGTAATGAACAATAGTCATTACTTCTCCTTGACCATTCCTTATTTTTTGGCGTTTTAAGGCCATAAAATAGGAATTTAGAATAATTTTTGATTTTTCGTGTGCTAATGTCCACGCTATCTTCATGAATACGGGCTATGGGCACTGAATCACCTTAAACTTTTGGACCCATTGAAAATAACCAATGAACAATCGTTATTGCTTCACCATGACCGTCCCTCATTTTTTGATGTTTTAGGGCCATAGAAAATGAAGTCAGGATAATTTCCAATTTTTTCGTATGTTAATGTACACGCCTTCTTTATGAATTCAGGCGACAGGCTCTAAATCTTCTAAAAATTTTGTGGAGCTATCAAAAATGAGCGAATGAATAATAATCATTTCTTTTTCATGGCCTTTCTTGTTTTTGGTATTTTAGGGCCATAAAACAGGAATTCAGGACGATTTTCAATATTTCCGTATGCTAACGCCCATGCCATCTTCATGAATTTGGGTGACGGGCGACGAATCATCTAAAATTTTATGGGCCTATTAAAAATGACCTAATGAATATTAGTCATTACTTCGTCTTGACCATTCTTCATTTTTTGGTGTTTTAAGGCCATAAATTGGGAATTTAGGATAATTTTCGATTTTCATGTGCTAATATCCACGCCATCTTCATGAATTTTGGTGATGGGCTCCGAATCGCCTAAAAAAATTGATCCATTAGAAACAACCTAATGAACAATAGTCATTGCTTCGTCATGATCGTCCCTCGTTTTTTGCATTTTAGGGCCATAAAAAAGAAATTGAGGACAATTTCCAATTTTTCGCATGTTAATGTCCATGCCATCTTTGTGAATTCCGGCGACGGGCTCCAAATTGCCTAAATTTTTGTGGAGCTATCAAAAACGAGCTAATGGATAAATCATTTCTTTGCCATGCCCTTCCTTGTTTTTTGGCATTTTAGAGCCATAAACAGGAATTCATGGCAATTTTTAATTTTTTCGTGTGCTAATGCATATGCCATCTTCATGAATTCAGGTGACGGACTCTGAATGCCTAATATTTTGTGGGCCCATCAAAAACAACCTAATGAACATTGCTTCGCCATGATCCTTCCTCTTTTTTGGCATTTTAGGGCCATAAAATAGGAATTCAGGCCGATTTTCAATTTTTCGTGTGCTAACGTCCACGCTCTCTCCTTGAATTCGAGCGACACCTTCCGAATCGTCTAAAATTTCTTGGGCCTATCAAAAACGAGTAATGAACAATAGTCATTGCTTCGTCATACCATTACTCGTTATTTGGCGTTTTAGGACCATAAAATAGAAATTTAGAATAATTTTTTATTTTTCGTGTGCTAATGTCCACGTCATATTTATGAATTCGGCAACATGCTTCGAATCACCTAAATTTTGTGGCCCGTCAAAAACGACCTAATGAATAATAGTTATTGCTTTGCCATAACCAATCCTAATTTTTTAGCATTTTAATCACAATATTTTGAATTAAGACGTAATTGTTATTTGTTAAAACTGTATAAAACAAAACTAGTCATATAACTAGAAAGAGACATATTATTAATTGTGAAGAAAATGATTTGCATGCATATGAAAGGCTTATTTGAGAATAGGGAGATTTTCTTAAATATACTAATGGTAACTTTAATAATTAATAACTAAGGTTTCATTAAAACTCAATTTCCAACAAGTTATTAAATAAGTTTCACTATAAAAGGTTTTATTTACCTCGACTTATTTACAAATTCAGTAATTGAAATTATCAAAGTTTTTATTCCACTTATATTCCTTCTGACTTTAGGCTATTTTAATTGTACAAGGTTTTCAATTCTTCTTATTTGGAAATTTACAAAATATGTAACACCCTTTACTTTCTCCTACTCAACGTAGGAAAAGGATGAAACAATTTTCACTTTGATTTATACTATAAATAATCGGAAAAAATTCCAATCTCAATTCCTACTCAGGTAAGAAAATACACTTAATTCCTATATAAACAAATAATTCCATAGCAATTGAACATAGTCTTTCTTCTTGTTTTTTTTTCTTTTCTCATGGAAGGTTCAAATAATAAAACTCCAATGGATTATCAAGATTTTCTTCGTTCTTTTCAAGATTTGAACTTGAGAAAAAATAGTGCAAATTCTTCTTTGAACAATCAAGCAGAGAATGGTTTTAATATTCCAAAAGAAAGTGACAGAATTTGGGCAATTTCGTCTGATAATGAAACTAATGATAGTTCTTTTTCTTGGTTGAGTTCTACAAGTAATAATAAAGAAGACTACTTTTCTAAAGATTCAAAATTTTCAATGAGTCAAAATAGTATTCAATCATCATTAGAATGGCCGTCAACAAGTTCTTCAAATATTTGGGCTTATGAGAATCATAATTCCAACAATGGAAGTAAGTATAAAGTTCACAACTTTACTTTATTCATGCATGCAGACTAGTTGTTTTTCTTTTAATTTTTATTTTAATTTGTATTTTCCTGTCAATATATTCAAGATTTATTGTACTGAGACGAGGGTCTGCCGAAAATAACCTCTCTGCCCTAGTGGGGTAGGGGTAAGGTTGCGTACACACTATTCTCCTCCTACCCCACTTGTGAGATTTTACTGGTTGTTGTTGTAGTTGTTGTATATTCAAGATTTTTTGTCCTGAGTGTCTATCGGAAACAGCCTCTCTGCCCTAGCGGGGTAGGAGTAAGGTCTGCGTACGCACTACCCTCCCCATACCCCACTTGTGGGATTTTACTGGTCGTTATTGTTATTGTTGATGTTGTATATTCAAGATTTCTTGTCCCGAGGGTCTATCGGAAACAGCCTCTCTGCCCCACTGGGTAGAGGTAAGGTCTGCGTACACACTACCTTCCCAGACCCCACTTGTGGGATTTAGTGGGTCGTCGTCGTTGTTGTTGTATATTCTAAGATTTCTTGGTTTTCTTGTGTTTGTTTTCTGCAGTTTCAAGCACCAACTCTTCACAGAAAAGCTCATTGGATTATGCAGATATTTATAGGAATTATGTGCCACAAACAACAAGTACCAATTATGAATATGGTTCTTCTTCATCATATAATTCCATGAATCAATCCAACTATGATCAAATTTTAAGCAACAACATGTTGAACAATAGCAACATTGGAGCTCAAGAATTTGCAGATAACAATGAGCTTCCTTTAGACTATAAAGATTGGAGTAATGAGGATTATACAAAGTGTTTAAATGTCCTGTTGAATCAGAGTATTGCAGCATTATGTTATGGTTATCTTCCAAATCTAGGATTCGACGTCATTAAGATGGCTAAAAGTCCCAGAGCCTCGCGCTTATTGCAAAATTTTCTGCAGCTGAATAACTATTACTACAGGCAAAGGATACTTAATGAGATTCTTCATTCTTTTTATGAGGTGATGATCGATGAATTTGGACACGCTTTCTTCCTAAAACTTGTTGAATTCTGCAACGACGAACAGATGGAACTAATTCTCAGTACATTTCACTTCAATGTGGAGTTGTTTGTACAAACAGCCTTTAAGAAATATGGGTGAGTAGAGATATATTAAGTACTTAACAGTTTTGCATTCTGAATACTGGCCTATCTAACATTTTTCCTTTTGCTTTGACAGTTCAAAGTCCATTCAAATGCTGATTAAAAACCTCAAAAAGAAACCTTTGGCCAACTATTTCTCAGAAATTGTGTCTGTTAGGTTAGTTGAACTGATGACTCATCGAACAGGGCGATACGTTGTTGAACAATGTTTCCATGTCTTCAATGAGAAGCAGAATGAGGTAAAAATTGTTACTACAGTTTTGTGGTTGCTTGTCATATAATAGTAAAAAAATTGTAGCCTAACAGATATGAATATTGCACACTGATTTCAGGTTCTGTACTGGGGGATTATTAGATTTTTCAAAGAGTTGGCTACAAATGAAAGTGGATGTGCATCTTTGAATATTGGCATCAATTGTATCACTAACCCTTTGAGAAAGGATCTACTTGAAAAAATAGCAAACCAGTCAGGTTACCTTGCCAATGATCCCTGGGGGTAAGTAATAACATATAGTTTCCTCCCTCTGTTAAATTTGGGATCATTCATATGCTTGTCATAAGCAAATCATCTCGTATTTGTCCTTGACTCTAACGGAGATCCAGCATAGACTAGGTAAATTCCCAAGTGTCGAAATACTTAGGAAAAAGTGCAATTTTGCTCCTCTAAAATCGCTAGCAGTGCTAGACAAAACACTATCATACTCGTCGGTACAAAGAGGGAAACCGCTCGACTATCCTTTAACCTACAACCCCTAATGCTCGACCTCCACACCTTCCTATCAAGAGCCATGTCCTCGGAAATCTGGAGTCGAGCCACGCCATATCCTGTGTGATCACCTCGCCCCAATACTTCTTAGGCCGCCCTCTACCTCTTCTCGTACTATGGTTTAAAATATTTCAAATAAGAGTTGCCTTAGGATCAAGGGAAAATACGAGACGATTTGCTAATGGCAAGGGTATGCAAGGACATAATACGTGTAAAATTAAGATATTTCCACTTTTCCCATTCTTTTACTACTGTTGACTAAACCAGAATTTGTGTGTTTTTGTTACAACAGGAACTATGTTGTGCAGCATGTTCTTGAACTAAGGGATGAAGAGATTTCAAGTAAGATATTCAGTCAACTTAAGAAGCAGTATTCAACACTAGCCTACAAAAAGGGTGGTAGCCATGTTGTTGAGAAATGCATAGAGTCATCAAATGTTGGAATGATTTCAGTAGTTGATGTTCTTCTAGCTGATGAAAAATCACTAATTCACCTTGCCAAAGATCCCTTTGGAAATTATGTAATTCAGAAAGCATTAAAATCAACAAAAGTAAGTAATCCTTATTGTCCTTTTTAGCTCCATAGCCACACAACATAAACCATTTTCTCCATTATCAGCAGAGGCGGACCCAGAATTTTTACGCGACGCCCAACCAGTGCCCCCTAAATGCTTTTAGCGTACAGGGTGCCAGCTACTTTAAATTAACAATTTTCAAGATATATACATATATATACAGGATTTCGGCTGAAGTTTACGAGGTCCAGTGACCCCTAACCCATACACATGGGTCCGCCTCTGCTTATCTGTAATAGCACATCAAAACTAATAACTGATTTAAGATTCATTACATTGTATCTATTTTCTGATTGCAGGAACAAGGAGAGGAAAGGCGGCATCAAGCTCTCGTTAGAGTCCTCATGCGGCATTCCTCAGCTCTTTTACACAGCAAAACTGGGAAACATGTGATCTTAAGTATCAAAAGTCTAAATCCAGATTATTAGACAGCCTTGAATTCATTGTCAAGCCAATGTTAAAGAGGACAATCTTGTTTCTATGTTTCTTGTTTATGTTTATGTTACTTCTGTGTAATCTGTGTCTTTTCTTTGTACACAAGGGGTGAATTGGAGATGATGCAAATCAGTGACTAAAATTGTAGTTAAGTGTTAGCAACTAGGATTTGTTTGAGAGTTATAGTCTGGCATTTTGGTAGAAATATTTTGTAAGAGCTTTTGTGTTGTACCACAAAAGCATTTATTATCTATATTCTTGACCCTTAATCTGAAACCTACATCTTTTATGTTTTTTTGCAGTTTGGGAATTACTTAAATTTTGTGTTTGAGACAAGAAGTTTATGCCTTTTGGTTCAAAATGTTGTATTATCAATTAAATGTAAATATAACGATTTTTTTTCTTTGATATTGGAAACAGCAAAGGGCCAAATATACCCCTATACTATGAGAAAAGGTTTAAATATACCCTTCGTTATACTTTGAGTCCAAATATACCTCCGCCGTAATACTATCGATTCAAATATACCATTTTTCTGTTATGTTTGTCCAAAGTGGACATTCAATCCTACGTGGCACTAACATTTGATGAGGTGGATGCCACATGACATGCCACTTCAACGCCCCTAATCCATATATAAAAGACCAAAATTTGAAATATAATACTTTTTATGGTAGCGGTAATGGTGGTAATAATGGTAGTGGGAAAAAAATTTAGTGGTGGAAAAAAAATAGAAAGGGGGGGTAAAATGGGTTAGGGACGCTGAGGTGGCAATCCATGTGGCATCCACCTCATCAAATGTTAGTGCCTCGTAGGATTGAATGTCCACTTTGGACAAACTTAATGAAAAACAGATATATATGAACCAATAGTATAACAATGATGGTATATTTGAACTCAAAATATAACGAGGGGTAAATTTACCTTTTTTGTTATTACAGGGGTATATTTGGCCCTTTTCCGTATTGGAAAACAAAGTTTTATAGAATGATTATTCTCTTTATACTTAACTCCTTCTCCTTGAAAAGGCCCTTTATAGTAAAATTTGGAACCAAAAGTTAGTCCATTCTTTCAATCATGAATACATACATACACACAAGGGAGAAGCATGAAGACAAAGGAAATTAAATGTGCAATAAGATCTGCTTTTTCTAATTCACACCAGAAAATGAACACTGCTCATCATAGACAGCCATTTCATGTTTATCGATTTGGGAGGGGCACAATAGTACTTGTGTCCGAGCCAACTTGCTCGCACCTTAATAATGTCATAGGATACTAGCTACCTCCCACTAGCACAGATACCGGATAACTCTGTCCACAGCGGCTTGGGCAGATCAGAGACTTGGAAGTACAATAGTCTGTTAACATTTCTAAGCAAATGGCCTATAAACATCTACAGAGATATTGGAAGTGCAAAGCTCCGTAGCAGAAAAGTGGCATCAGTATCCTATTATATTGCACAGACAAAGTGCTGGTGATATATTACTATCCCAGTTAATAATACAAGACAATTAAAGAACAGAGCTGCATTGAACCTTCTGAGACTCCAGAACACTTCTAGTAGCCTCTTTGACCACTTGTCCACTCACGTAGTGCTTTCGGCACACAGGCATATACACATCTGCTCCTGCAATCAACTCCGTTCTCGTCTCCTCTGTCTTTCTCAAGGTAAAAGAAGCACGTTTGCCACAAAGTTCACATCGGGAAGTTAGTTTGGTCACAGTATCAGCAATTGGAATTATGTCGAGAACTGAACCAAAGCTTCTTCTGCAAAATGCGGAATATGAATCCGATAAAGAATCAGTACACGGGTACAAAAATACCCGAGGATAATAGCACGACAGGTAACTTAGCATCACATTTAGTACATATGAATTATTCAAAGGGATAAGCACAATACGTCTTTCCACAGAAAATGGAAGTAGTACCTCAGATAGTCACCATCCAACCCAGCAACTATCACAATCTTGCCATCATGGTCGGCAGCTTCTGTGCAGAAATCATATAGATCCTCAAAAAACTGAGCTTCGTCAATGCCAATGACCTCTAACTGAAGCCATGTAACAGTCACAAAAAAGTATAGTCACATATACTAGCAAAGAAAATTGAGCGATGATATAGCATAAACCATGTAAAAGACACAATACAGTATTGTAACATACTAGCAAAAAAAGTTCAATGACAACTTTCAAAGCTAGTGCTTCATGATTATATCATTCAAAAATAGACTTCTTGAGCCAAACTTTTAGAGAAAAATTTATGTTTCTAGCGCCCCTAATTACACATTGAGAAGGTCCTATGCTAATCATCTAATATATTCACAATATTTTACCGTTGTAGTGTTACCTTACTGTATGCTTCAGAACCACATCTCTGTTTGAATGACGATAGATTAGCTAAAGGCCAGCATGGCAATCTGTCCCCATCATGTGTCACAATGGAATCCAACCCATATCTTGTATCCTTGTCCGACTTTATAATTGCTACACTTCTGCAGAGAGGGGAAAATAGTTGGCAATTAAATCAGACGATGACATGTGAACATCAGGAAGCCTTGAATCTCTATCAAGAGATCATCAAATTTCAAGCAGCATTTTTTCAAAACTCAGAAGTTTGCATGCTTCGCAGCTCAAGTTAGATGTCCTCAATTTTCATGTCAAAGTTTTGATATCTTGAAGTTAATTTTTGGCTTTGTAAATCTTCACGTAAAGAATGAAACTTTCAGAATGATTTCATCAAATAAACAAAAGGAAACAGAATGGGCAGGTTCTACTTTTCTGTGCGGCTGGCTGCACAATAGATAGATCCTCGCACAAACTGCAAGTCAACAGGGAAGGATCTGAATGTTCAAATTCTACTTTTGCAGTTTGCGCGGCTCCCTATCTTAATTTATCATGAAAAGGTAAATAAGGGAAGCATAGTCTAACATAAAAAGGTAAAAGAACTTGTTAAGATCTATCAAAAAGTAGATAATAATGTTTCCACCACATGAAGACATAAATTTCACACACCCACTTTTTCATGCTTGTTTACACGACTGTAGCTCATGTTGTGCCAGGTAGATGGAATTATGCCAGTTCCAGAGTAACATTCATAAGTTGGTTAAGATTCTAAAATATTTTCAAACACTGTCAACAATTGAAACATTTCATGCATTGCGTAAATGTATTAGGGACAACGTAGAATGATATGCTTGACCACCAAACATAGCATATAACAAAATAAATGTTACGCGGCGCCTTCCTGAGATTCTTTGGAAGGGCGACGTAAGGCTAGCAACCGATGTCAGGGCGATTGCTGTCCGCCAAATGGGGTCCCCTCCGTACGCTAGACTAGATTGTCAGTGCCGTACGGGAAAACCAATGTCAACAATTGAGAGAACAGTAATGAGAATTGAATGAAAGCTTGATTGCATTAATGAAAGCTAATACAAAAGTAGGTAACACGGTGTCGAGGGGGAGAGACACCAGTACAGAGAATTGCTTGCTAGAAAGTTTCGAATGCTTGATCCCCCTAATAATGCTTAAAAAAAATAAACCAAAGTTACAGGAATAGACCTAACTAAGCTAGAGGATCATAATGAAATTACAAGGAATAAAACTACTTTATATTTACAAGGAAAAGGACTTAGTTTTCTACAAGGTAGAAACAGGTCCGTTGTCAGCAACTTTGTCTCAGGCATCACGATCTGCGCGCGCGGCGCTGTTGGCAGCTGCTTGCGTCTGGGCGCTAGCGAGGGATATCGGTGGGGCGACAGAGGCACATGCGCGCTTGTCACTTGGCGC